ATGGGTGGATAGTAATTATTTCAGAGCACATAATTATTCTCCAGTTAACTGTAGGGAAATGCTGATATTTTTGTTCTTTTTATTTTTAAATAAAAGTTACTGTGGCCAGATTTGAAATGTGTCCTTCTTAAAGGCTGTCATGGGGAAATATGCTTATGTTAATGGCAAAGGTAGTGTTTTGGGATTCAAATTAGTTCAAAGTTCATGGTTAGGAGTACTTTTTACCTTCCTTAGTCCTGTTGTTTCACCACTGAATCTATTTATTGCCTATAGGAGATATAAAATATAGTAATTACTCTCACTTCCTTTCAAAATGACAGGAGGTCTACTTTCCTATTAACTCTAATGAGAGTTATGTGTGCATTCCTCAAGGAGGACAGACTCTGTAGAGTTTCAAGGTAGAATAAATCACTTCTACACTCGGTTTTAGAGGACTCATTTGCCTTATATTTTAGTGCTTTAAAGTATCCATTTAAACTGCTGTTATTGAAAATGCACTATTTGTAGTTTAAAAGAAGCATGAGCTGTGGCTGGAATGTTGTTAATGCCTGTTATTTCTGATGAGATATAAATGTTTTACTCGTTAGGGAAATCATGTTGATCAACTTTAAGGTATATGCAGTCTGTCAAATATGGTTGTCTAATTTTCCTAAGAAAATTAATGTCAATTGCCACTTATAATATTTCTATTTAAAAAATGTTTAACATCAGTGATATATGTCAATAGTAACACATTAGAATAAAGGAAAATGTGCCAGAATTGTTGCTATCCTAGAAAGAAGGGAGCTCAAGGCTATGAATATTTTCTTTCGAACCAGGGATTAAGGAATTTTAAGATCATATAGGAATCTGTTTCTGTGATTCTTTACTCTGTTGAGGTTTCCTAAGAGAAAGTAATGTTGAGTTTCTCAGTTTGCAACCCAGGATACTTATTCTCAGTGTTTTCAGACACACAAGATAATGGAAATCTGTTTTCTTGCATTTTATAATCAATTTTGTGAAAAATTATCATCAGTCCTAAGGGAACTTAAAAATATCAGATGTATAAACAAATTCTTGATTTTAAGAGAACCTAGCTATATTGCAATCACTAAAATACTGCTGAAACCCATATTGTGGGAACAAATTAATATCACCCAATAATAGGTTTTTGTCTAGTATTCAATAAATTAAATCATTTTGGGGAGCACTTGACTTCTTTTCTCAAATAAACATCACTGCATCTAATTATTAGCGTGAAGCAGTATCTGTGTTTCTAACTTTTCATATTTACTTCAGTAAAAAATGTTCTATGAAGTACATGTGATATAGCCATTAGCCCACATTAGCTAAGATGCATGCAGTTTCTGAGTAGGGGAGGTGATTAACTAAATAGCAAAAAACAGGTTTTTCACTTTGAAATGGGGTAAATTCTGAATACTAGGGATGACCTGCTCAATCAGTAAGTCCTCACCCTGGCTGCTGTAGAATGCAGGGCAGAGAGCGAACTAAAATTAAAGGGAGTGAGAAAAAGGGGAACTAAGAGAAAACAGGAGAAGTAAAGTTATTGTCCAATGTTGCCAGGTTGTCTGTCATACCAGCACATGATTTCAACTAAGCAGAGACCAGGGTGCAGTCAAAGAACCTGGACATGCCTGCCTGCTGTGCTTTAAAGTCATCATGAGACCTCCACTTTACCCCTAGGTCCTAGCAGTCTCCATTCAGGGAGACAGTGAGTTAAGTCCAGAAAATACCATGTTAGCTATGAACAGCACCCACTGGCTCAGAGGTTGCTCTTCACTGTACTGTCAGTGCCATCCATGGAAAAATTATCTTGCTCAATAACTGATGATTTCCACAACTTCTCACCTATGCAGATGTGGAGAGAAATAGCAACTGAGAACTACATCTTATGTGAAAACAAGTGGGAGGTCACTTAGTATCAAATATCTTAGTATCAAATATCAAATATCTTAGTATCAAATGTCATCTACATGCAAGAGCTAGCTAGCAATTCTTTTTTTTTTTTAATATCTTTTTTTATTAAATAATAAATTTTATTGTTATATTCCCCATACAATTGCAGCCCCCCCATTCTGACCCCAATCCCTCCCCTCCCGCCCCTGCCCCCTAAAAGTGTCTCTGATTCATAGTTTTTTGTTGATTTTGATTTTCACTTTCTTATAGTTATTCATTTTCCTGGTCCCTTATTTAAGTTTTCTAGATTCCTGCTATGAGTGAGACCATCCGATATTTTTCTTTTTCTTTTTGGCTTATTTCGCTGAGCATGATCCCTTCCAGCACCATCCATGTTGCTGCAAATTGCATGTGTTTATCTTTTTTGAATGCTGAGTAATATTCCATGGTATATATGTACCACATCTTCTTGATCCAGTCATCTATTTTTGGGCATTTGGGTTGTTTCCAAAGCTTAGCTATTGTAAACAGTGCTGCTATAAACATAGGGGTGCAGGTGTTCTTTGGAATTGATGTTTCTGTGTCCTTTGGGTAAATACCTAGGAGTGGAATTGCTGGATCATATGGAAGCTCTATGTTTAGTAGGTCCAGAAATCTCCACACAGCTTTCCACAGTAGTTGGACCAGTTTGCACTCCCACCAACAGTGCAGAAGAGTTCCTTTTTCTCCACACCCTCGCCAACATTTGTTGTTGCTTAGCTAGCAATTCTGTAGTGTGCCAAGTGTGTAAAACTACTGGCTTGGGGCTGTAAAACTTAAAGATTTCCCAAAGATGTAAACTGCCTTGTGTACTAGACATGAAAAGAAAAACTTCCATGTGAAAAAGTCCAAGAAAGACATTTTATAAATCCCTGACTAAAACAAGGAGAGCAACTAAATTTAATTGTAACAGGATCTCAAAATATTAGTGAATTGATAAATCATCAAAAACTTTTTGACCTCACATGTGTGATTTTTTAATATGCCAACAATTAACAAAATTAAGCAATCTAACTAAATTTGGAAAGTTAATTACTGTACACTAATTAACTAACACTACACTTAATCTTTGTTGTTATTTGGTAAATAAAACTATTGCTTTTATTTAGTGGTCTTGAAAAGAAAAATGCAAGAAAATATATTTGGTGAAATTTATTTACTGCTTTAACTAATTATAGAAAAATAAAAAAGCTTTAAAGTTTCAATTTCTAAGTCTAATGTTTTGCATAATGTTTAAACAATGGAAGCATTTCAAATATAGTTTCCATATAGATTTTTTTTTCAATTTATATTAAAAATATATTCTGCAGAAATGTGACTATGTTGTTGCATGAATATCAAATAATACTGAGGGTACTTTTGCATTTAAACAGGAACATATTAAAGAAATGTCAATTTCTGTGAACTTGCAATGAAGTACCAATTAACATGAACTATTGTTTTCATCTAGGTTTTCTCTTAATGGAATGATTGTTTGCTGGAATGACCATAAAAATATATCAGTAAATTTGTTGTATATAGCCTTCTGTTCTTGGAATGATCTTGAAACTACGATTTTATAATATAGATTGTCAAAGGATCCTTTCAATTACATCAATTTCTGCACTTCCAATCTTTTGATTTTTGCCAGTTGCTACTTATTTCAAGGTAGTATCTCTGAGGTGATGAAACATAATTGTAGTATATCTCATTTTTCCTTCTGTTATCTGGAATGGGGATTTTAGTTCCTTGAGAGTTATGATATTAGTTGCAATTTTGGATTACACACATAATGCATAGTAATCACTGAAATATTTTCTTAAAATGTTTAACAGTCTTTCCCTATGATGTATATTAGAATTAATGCCTGCTTCTTTACTACATAGATATTGTTGAAATCAACACATAACTTTCAGTCTTTTTTTCCCCCACCTTTTCTGTGACTGTTATTTCATGCATGACCAAATGCTCTTGCTTACTGCTATGTGACTGGCTGTCTTTTTACTTGACTGTCCTGTGTTTGTAATGATTGCTTTCTGCATGAGGATTATGAAATGTCATACAAATTAAATGGTTATGGAAATAAAAATAAAAGTGGGGCATCACTTACTCTTTTGTGTGCTGAATATATCAATAATGTGACACTTAAAATTACTTTCATATGACTTTTCACTTTCCCCTTTAGTGTTTACTTTTATTCTAGCAAATCAGTATTGTTAAGTATAATACAACATCTATTAAAAATTCATAGTGTTTAATACAATTATTGTTCTAAAACACGATCCCATTATAAATAACTATACTGGGCATGAAATTGCACTAGAGTGTAATTCCATTATATTCTTAAATTGATTATAAAATATAAGCACCAAGTCTGTAACTACTTCAGTAGCTAAGCACTGACTTCTATTGATGGTGCCTTTCTCTACTGAGTAATGAGATTATTTGTTCTTACATTTGTGCAAGTTGCAAATATCTTACAGCTAATTATTAGTCAAAGTACATGGGGAAATATTTGTGTAATGACAAGTAATTTTATAAAGTCACAGTTTTTAAAATGTATGCTAAAAAAGGTGTAAACCCAAATGCTGATGAACTTAAAAAAAATTATGAGGAAAAAGAAAAAAACACCCGAAGAATGTTTATATTTCAGTTTTCCCTGATGTTATTATATCGTCCCAAATTAAAGAATGAGTCTGGCCTACTTTCTTTATTGTTGTCACCAATTTAAATTAGAAAAGACACTGAATAAATTGAGTTCCTTCAGCTAATAAAATTGTTTACTTTTTTTGTACACTGTGGGTATTTAAAAAAAAAATCATTTCCTTGGTTTATGACTTGAGTTTCAAACCATAATGTATTTTTTATGCTGGATATATTCACAAACCAAATCTCCTATGAGATATTTTGGGGAAAGGTATTTTTTTCTTAAACAAAATAGATAATCAACTTTGACATAACCATTCCCCGCTCTTTTTGAAAATACCTTGAGAATTTTAGTATTTACATATATTTTTTTCCCCTCAGTCTTGTTTATTCTTGAATTGTCTTTTTTTTTCCCTCCATTTCTCCGTTCTCAATCCTAGGTCCCCTTACAAAGAAACAGACAGATGATTTAGGTGATAATGACGGTGCTGAAGATGAAGGTATTTTTTTTTCCACCAAATATATTTGCATGACAAGGACCTCAGTCACTTTTTCCACCCTTTTCTATTTTTTTACTTCTTGTCTTTTTTTGAAAAGTTGTTTTTAATTCCCGTTTTTGATGTGTTTTGTCTTCTTGCTTGTTGTACATATAAATATACATTTAAAAAATTTTTAAATGAATGTTAAGTTTTACATTTTGATGCCAGCCATTAAAAATGTTTTAAAAAGAGGGGCATATTTTTGTTTTCTTGAACTGACTTTTGATATGTTTCATCCCACGTTTTGACTAATATTTGTCCATATTCTTTGAACTAACAATCACCCCCCTGTAGTCTCTCTGTACCCATTTGCATGTATTCTAATCTGTAAAATGTAAATATTTTACCCAATATTAAAATGTGTTTATTTTTAGTTTGATATTTGTTTAAAAAGAGCCCCCACCCAATAAAATAAAGGACAAAAGCTGATAGAAAGTGTTTCTTAAGCAATATAATTTAGTTTCAGAAAATTTCTGGTGCTTAAATAGCACATAAATGAAATTGTTTAGATGATAAAGGCATTATACCTATTTAGATAACAATAGTAAACACTGTATAATCATTTAAGTATACTGAGCTCATTATGGTATTTTTGTTGCAATTGTTAGTTTTTTAAAACAAGATTAGATGAATATCCTTTAATTTCGAGGGCATATAAATTCTAGATTAACAGATGAAGATTTCTGGTTTTCAAGTATTGATGACTGTAAGTGATAAATGTTATGCTTCATAATATCAAAATTATTTTTCTCTTATCAACTTTTTATTACATGATCTTACATGTAATTATTCATTAGATAGATTTTAAATTTATCATTCCATTGTGTACCTTTACCTGGTGGTAACTGAATATCTATAAAAGACTCTTGATTCTTTCAGTTCATCTTGGTTCCAGTTAGTATTTTTTGTGAGCTTCCCCAGTTATAATTCTTATAGGTTTGACTAATATAATCCCGTGTTTCTAAGTAATCCCCACAACCTAGAAATTAAATCTCTTATAGATAGATATTAAGTAAAATAGTAAGAAAAGTTTTCCAAAATAAAATAATACATAAACAAGTAAGCAGAAGCTTTAGTTCCAGGAGTTACAACTATAAATGAATGAATTTTACTAAACAAATTAAATTGCTTTTATTGAGATATATTTAAGAAAATTATAGATGTGAAGCATTGACAATTTAAAATTACATGGTGTTAATATTTTTATAATATTTAAGAATTTTTTTGATTAAATCCAATTTATAACATTTGACTAAAAATTTGTTTACCATGAACCCCAGCAGTGAATTAAAGATAAAACATAAAGCTGTCATTAATATTTAATATAAACCATTATACTTACCCAAGTATTATTATTTTGAGTGCTAAATAACAAAAATTAATTTATAATATAAAAATGCATATATTTTTAAAACTTGGGAACCTCAAGTATTCAAACATTCAGAACATTTATTGATTGAGAACATGTGTTTTGTTTTAAGACTGGTTCACTTGCAGGCTTCGGCTTTACTGAATTCTCTAAAAAATCCTTAACTCCTAGATATTTGTTATCTGCATGTTAACTAAGCTTATTAGTGTGTGGCTTTGTAAACTCCAATTTTTCCCAAAGTACTCAGAAGGTTATTTTATACCATTTTCTTATTTAAAAAATATTTTGATTGCTAATTTAATGTGCTTCTTTTCCTTTTTTCTTTTGGTTAAACAGTGTCAAGTAAGATAATTACATGATCACAAAACATACTTCTCACCATCCATAGTGAGCTAAGCCCTGTAAATGTAAATACACTTTATAAATCTATTTTGAAGCATATTTATCTTTTTTAAATAGCCATTAACAGCACCTTACACCTGTTAAAATAACAGATAATATCTAGGTAAGCACTAAGTCAACCACAAGAGTTTTCAAATCAATAAATATTTTTAAATATGGAAAAAATTCTCTATGGAGAATATCAAAGCAGTCAGTTTAAATTCAGTCTATTCTGCTGTATTGTTTTGGATAAATATTCAGAATATATGAAGAAATAATTCAAATATTCCTGAGGGAAAAAACCTTTGTAGGAAAGTTTGAGCATCCTCTCTGTTCAATTCTTTTTTGTAATTATTTTATAGTTGTATAAAGAAAATCAAGGTCAATTTCACATTTGTTCCAAACCTGAATCAACATCACTGGAGAAAAAATCAGCAGATACAAACTACTTGATAAAGTCACCTTTCCTTCAGACAGATGTCTAATTATCTTGTCATTTCTATGAAATTCACCATCATTTGCTGATAACCTCAATCTTACCTGATTTCTAGTTCCCTGTCTCGTCTGTACTCAGAAAATACCTGAGACAAGACTGGATTGTGCCCCCACATACATACACTGAAACTAGTCCAGGTCTTCTCAGTGGAGCTTTATTCTTCACTTTTAATTCCCCTTTGCATCTTTAGCTTTATTTGTTTGTCATCTTTAGGACAAACATAATTATATCACTTCTCACTTTGTGTGTTATAATAACCAAAAAGAACTGCATAAAGTACAGGCCATTTCAATAGCTAAAAAACACTAATATGAAATGATAAAAATGGATTAAAGAACATTTTACATTTCTACCAGTTTTTTTTTTTTTTGAGAATTTGAGATATTTAAAAAAAAAATATTGTGTGATGAATACCCTAACATTAATATTCTAATATCAACTTAGTTTTATATCTTACAGAGAGCTTTCTAAAAAATTGCTCTTGTCGATTTTTGTATATTATTTAAGAAAAACTACCTTTGATTTTAAGTCCATTTTCACAACCACAAATTCAGACAACACCTCTATATTTCCTTGTTTGCTCTGAATGATAATTTCATAAATGAGTAGAGTTAGCAGATAATTCTACATTAACTGCTCTAGATACAGTGACAATTGCTACGCAGGCTTAAATTTTAGTTTATCAGAAAGATATAATAGATCTTAAAATTTAACATCAGAGCATCTACTCAGATTCCAAGTTTTGCATTGTTTTATTTTCAAAAACTTAAATAATTTGCCATAAAAAAATAAAAGAAAAATAATCATGAATACCTACTAACCACCCCATTCTTTTCAGATCCATATGCTCAGTGGACCTGTGCTAGTGTTTTAGTCTGTGAGAATGTTCTTTGGTCTTAATAAAGTCAGTGGCAGTTTGAGCAAAACCCAAAATCTTAGATGACATCTACTTTTTTTTTAACCAGGGAAAAATACTCGAAAAGGGCAACAAGGATGACTTGAGTCTAATAAGCTCATTAAACAAATAAGATACATCTACTGTCATTATATTAAAGACATCATTTAATTATTAAAATGATGGCATTAGCAGATAGTAGGCTATCTGATATATTGGGTTCACTTCTAATGATTCTCGTTCTTTTAAAAATCAAAGCAAATATACATATAAACTTTTTTTAATGTTAAATAGATCTTAGACTATGAAGAAAAGTATGGTCTAAGATAGGCCTCTTCGATAAACCACTATCAAAATAAAGTTTAAGAAGGACCACTCTAATAAAACAATACCAAAGAATTCCAATTGTTCTGTAATAAAAATACAGCATTCCTCCAAACTTTATTAGCAATAGTAAGGGTTGCTATGTGCAATAATTTTTACTATTTTGGTAATTAATGCTCCATATAATATTAACTTCAGGGTTACTTCAAGCAAAAATAATTATTTTCCAGTGTGCAGCATTAGAATTTAGTGCAACTTCCGGAAAAAGAATTAGTTCACATGATAAGTTTTTTAGGCAAGACTCAGATCTCTGAGGAATCTGAAAAAACAACTTAAATATTAGAATCATCCCAAATACTCAAAAATGCTTTCAAGTCTAATTTTCAAAGAAAAATAAAGAGATACCACTTAAAATATCTCCTGGAATCTATTGTCATATTTTTCAGTCCTTTCTGAAAATACCCACTTTGCTCTGTTATTAGATATAAAAATGTGGCAAGTCTTCTCAATGTGTGCCTGTATTGTTTTCCAGGTGAACAGAATGGCTCTACCCAGATTTCATTACTGTTCACAGTTGGTGCTTTGTAATTCTATGTAATTTTAATTAAAGAAGAATTCTGAAACAGCCTCCCTCTGTGCTACCTCCAAGCATACAATTAGCAGAGTACAGTGTCTGCTGTGAACAGTCAGTTAATGATTTCAGTTTAATAATTTATTATTGCTTCTTCTGTGCCAGCCATACTAGAAAAATAACCTAAAACTGTATGCAGCAAACAGGCATTTAAGGAGGATAGCTTAACAGTATCAAAAGGGTTGTTTTCTCTGCAAATCTAACATCTCCACAAGGCCTCAAATCTTTACAAATGAATGAATATCATTTTACCTCCCAAGGATATAATGAAAAAATAAGTTTAAATTTTCCCCCTAAATGTAGCGGTATCTAGAGGTTGGTTTTTAATGTCAGAGTATCCTCTCTTCACCACTTAAAAATTAAGAGACTTTTCTCATGTGCTTTGTTGTTGGGGGGAGTAAATTTAAACATTGGTATTAAGTCAAATTAAAAATATTTTTTTAAAAAATGCTCTAAATTCTGCAATGATCCATTTCCCTAACTTGAAAATCTTGGCAAAGAAGTTGAGTTATAATTCCTGATCCTAAAATAATTTTCTAATTAAGAAGTCATTTTATTAACAGGAAAAAATCAAGGCATTTATATTACCCTTCCTTTATAAAATAAATGTAAAGCAGCCTGTAAATAATCATTAACTTTTTAAAATGAATTTATATTCTATAAAGATGTAGGAGAGTCAATTTCAAAAAAATTTCAAAAGCAAGAAAACACTTTAGTTTTGAATGACCCTCAATAGTGACACAAAAGAATATTATATTGATGAAATTTTTCTTTCAATTGTGGGCATAAAAAACATGGGTTATTATATAATAGTAATATTTTTATTTATATATATAGCATGTAGAGTATTTTAATATAAGTTAAAACCATGTACAATATACAGTTTAGCCTCTTTTGAAATTATTATATCTTAATATCAATTAATATTGTCTTATGTTTTCCCTTACATGTTATTTCTAGATCTTTGTCAAAAATCACATAAGTATCTTAGAAAAGCAATTTTTTTCTGAAAAATCAGAACAAAGTAGAGCTAAGAATAGTACAATAGTTACATGCAGAGATGAAAAATATATTTTAGTCTCTCTTCTTCTTTCAAAAGGTATGATTAGGTGGAAAGAGCAGATGACCAGAAATTAAACGAAAACTATCATTTAAAAATGACAGTCTCGGGCCTCCCCGGTCACAAAGCGAATGAACACTGGGCTGCGAAGCTGCCTGCAGCCTCTGCAGTGCTGGTTTGATCCCCGTCCGCTGGGGGAGGGTCCCCCATGGTGCGCAAACTTCTCCTGCAGCACCCACTGCTCCCCTCAGCAGTATATTTCATCAGTCTGCCTGTTCTGCTCCCCGCTTTGGCTCTGGTGAATTCTCTCACCCTCCCACACTTCTGACTGTACCCAGTGCTTGTATAAATAAATAAATAAATCTTTAAAAATAAATAAATAAATAAAATAAAATGACAGTCCCCTAAATACATAAACAGCAGTACAAATGTATGATTTTACAGCCTAAACATTACTCTAATAGTAAGTAATGAAATTAAATTTCTTGCAACATACAACACAATGTCGTAATTACATTCACAAATTGGAACAAATAATATGATACATTTGATGTATATATGATACAAATCTTTACAGTAAAGAAAAAGAATATCTTATTCATAATAACAGTGATACAATTGTTTTTACTGTATGGTACATAAATTTCACGTGAAGTACATAACAATTTTTAAATAGTAGTTCTTGGAATGATTATCATTCTATTATTTTTTTTATTTCTACTGTCAGCAGTAATCAATAAAAAAGCACTAAAAATCAAATCTACTTTCAATTTGTCTAGGTTTTATAATGCAGTCTATAATTTTAGACAAAATTTTATATAGAAACCAATGGGTCTACTGCTTTTTTTTCCCATAATAACTTTTAATATGTTGCTTAAGAAACACTTTCACAAAAACAGCAAATTAAAGAACTCTGTTAAAATCATTCCTTTTTGCCCCTAAAGTGAAGTAAATTATTCTTTTATTCATTATGTGTTTTTTTGAGGGTAAGAACAATTGTCAACCATTTGTTTTTCAGATATTCGAGATAGTGGGGGTCCCAAACCAGTGATGGTGTATATCCATGGTGGTTCATATATGGAAGGAACTGGAAATTTATATGATGGAAGTGTCTTGGCAAGTTATGGCAATGTGATTGTCATCACAGTGAACTATCGACTTGGGGTACTTGGTAAGAAATTTATTTTTTCACCATTTATTCATAAAGTATATGACAGTTTTGATTTATTTATTTGGCTTAGCTTTGTTTAACCCATTATTCTGTGATTATTGACTTTGTTTGAACCAAAAGTTTTGGAATTTTCAGTGAGTGCTATCCCTGATCATAAATCACCTGGTGAAAGACAGGGGTAATTTTGAGATTTAAAAATAAAGAGGTAAAATTATTCGTATTGGTGAACATTGTTCTTCCTGGTTTGGTTTTATAGAACTAGGGGAGCCAATAATGGCAGGTTGTTTCTGAAGAATTAGTTGGTGAACAAGTTTTCTTTCTGCATTTCTTTTGAACAATGTTATAAATTAATCTAAGGTTTCCTCTGCACTTAGAAGCAAATTTATATTCTCTTTAAGAATATGTGTATGGACTGACTGGCTTTGGTGAATGATTTCTGAAGTAGGGAGATTTTTTTAATTAATTTGTCAATTTCTAGAAATATTTCATATAAAATATTTTGATTGAATGATTTGAATTGAAAAATATGTGTTGATTTCTTAAGTTACAAAGAGCTCAATTCAATAATGTATTCATATGCAAAACAAAATTAAATTGTTTTGAACTATAGATTCTTGTTTTGAATTATAGATAGATATTTTTTGCAAAATGACTTACCAAGTACTCTGAAACAAGAATACAGCTTTATGTTACAACTACTTTTACAGGAAAAACTTGCTCTTCTACTTGTATAGTATTATTATTTACAGTATCATCACAATTTGAGGAGTAAAATTACTGTATCATTTAATAAGATAGCTTTGTAGTATTTTAAATAAAAGTATTTGCTAAAGTTATAATTCATCACAAAAGATTTTACTTCTTTTAATCTTAATTATCTCATTGTTTTAAGTCATACTGTATACTTATATAGATTTAAATTATATGTTATTTTACACAATGAAGTATCTCACTTTTTCATTAATTACTCCACAATATTTTGAAAAAAGAATTCAATTTATATTGCTTCTATGATAATCACTAACAATATATATTTTAGCCACTGAGAGTTTATTTTCTTTCTTTTGTGCTAGTTATTATTCTAACTCCTTCTATGCAATCATAATGTTATTTTCATACTAATGTCAAAACATAACAAAGAGAATAATTTCGTCAGTCAAGTTTGTCTTGGATGAGGAGATAGTTTAGCAATGCAAAGGTGAAATCTTGATCATTTTCTGGATTGCTATTTTGAATTTGTAGTTGGTGGATGAGATGTATACACTGTCTCAATGAAGGTATAAAATATTTCTGTAACACTGTTCAAGGAATATTAGTAACCCCATAGTTTCTAATCATTCATTGCTTCAGATGTTGCTATAATTTTTAGTGGACAAGGGAGAGTGTCATGCCACCAATGAAAATTCTCTGTGTTGGAATTTGTGTAAAGAGATGTTCACATTAATCTCTTAATCTCTTTTAAATATTTCAGAGTGTTATTTATTTCTTGTGTAACATTTTAATGAAAGGATCTTAAATTTCTTTCATACATTTAATTTTAATTATAGCACTTTGCAAAGCAAGATTGTTTTTATTGACTACTATTCTCATTTTTTCTGAAGTTTTAGAGTTGAAAATCATGTGACCTGTGAACAGGTTGAAAAATTTTAATTTAATGCCACATAGTAATAACATAATTTTTTAGGACTTAAGCAACCATTTGTCATATGTACCAATTTCCCTTAAAAAATATTTTGGCTACATCTTACTCTGTTACTGGTTAGGTTCACATTGTAAAATTAACTGTTGTTGCTTTGATTTAAGTTCTGCTTATTCTGCTTGTATTTTACATATTGAGTGCTAATGATTCCATAGGAATCCTATGTTTATGTCCATATTCTATCTTTAAATGATAAATTCTAAGTGATTGGATTGTAGAACATATTAACCAACAACAACAAAAAAATGAAGAACTCAATTTCTTGCTTCTCATAATGACAAGCAGTGCTGTTGATGATGAATGATTTTGCTGTGTTTGTTTTGGTTCTATTGCAATCTAGGATTTAAACTTTAGTTGTCTCCTTTGTTCCTCTTGATGACACCATACAATTAGAGTCAGATTTAAGAATCAGTTGTCCTTTGTAGTCTTCCTTTCAACAGAATAAAGTCTAAAACTTTGTTAATGAAACTTTCTGCGATGTTAGTTCTAGAACAGATGAATTCTGGTTACTTTCTTTCTAAAACATGTGTTGGGACTTGTGAGAAGGTATTTAAATATATTTAATTCATGAAAGATAAATTCATATTAGCATACTTTGCCTGTGTAGTATACTATGAGTAAATCAACAGTTCATCTGGCAGAGAAATGCAATTTTAAAAAAAAAGAAGCATAAAACTTTTGTTGTTAATAATTTCCTTCATGGTGAAAAGGTAAGCCAAAATTCTTGGGTGTGAGATTCAGAAGTATTGCTGTTTAGATTGCTGTTAGGAGACTGTTGAAAATTAAATAGGAATTAAGATTTGATCCTACATCAGAAGACAATCCTGAGCTGTGTTTTGACTTGGATGTTTTGGTGTAAAGGAAATGAATTTCGGAGTGTAATATATAAGTTGGCTAATTCGAAGAAATATTGCTCTCAGATAACTGGCAGAAAATGTCAGGATATTTGAAATAGGCAATGTAATTAGTGTTGATTTGAATTTGCTGCCTCAAAGGAGAGATACTGTAAGTTTTTTGTTTGATTTAGCAATAAGTAAAAAAATGATGTTTCAGTCCTAAAATTCATATGTTGTCTTGCAGCCAAGTTTCCAGTTAAAAGTATTAAAAATGTTGAAAAATGTTTTCATTGCAAAGTGAAAGTAGCACAGAATAAAAAGTACCATTCATGATAGCATTACTCTGAAAAATTTAGGAGTAGCTCAGGTTAGTTCCTGTACCAAGATCTTTTTGTGGTTTCCTTAGGAATTGTACTATTACTATTATTGTACTGGAAATTCTATTGGTGGTGTAAAAACAAAAACAAAAACCTGCTAATAGTGTTGATAATAAAGGCAAGGGAATACAGGACTCTGCATACTAACTCCAAATTACTCGTTACACCTTAAAGCTCTTTGTCGCCCTATTAATTCATTCAGTCTTACACTTCTTCAGTGAATAGGGAGACAAATTTTTGCTGTGTTAGCCACACCTTTTGTTCCCAGCCAGTTTTAAGGTAAACTCTTCCCATATTTTCTTTGTCCTTTGTTATTAATCCAACTTTGCACAGTACCTTAAATTCTATTTCAAATAATTGTTAGAATTATACTTTTTTGTTGGGAAAATTATTTCTCCTTCATATCTCAAGGATAATTTGCCTGGTAGAGTAATTTTGATTGGTAATATCTTTTATTTCAAATAATGCTATTGTGATAATGTGTTTTAGATCATTATATCTGCTGTGGTGGTTATAAGTTTAAACTACAAAAGTGGAATTATTGTTTAAACTAGTATGTAATAATAAAATATATTGGAAACTTAGTAGGAAATGCTTTTATTATAAATCTTTAAAATGGAAAAATAATATTAAATGTTATCTTGTAAATAGGATAAATGTGTACGTATGGACAAGAATGGGAAGGGAATGTGAAATGAATTTATCATTATTTAGTAAGAGATATTTTACAACAAATATCTTTAAAAATATGAACTATCCAAATTATAATATATTGTCAGACTTCAAAAGTGCAATAGTACATTAATTTGGTGTTAAAATGTGTTTCAGCCTCATCTGTACATTTAGAATAAATTTATGTTGCTTTTAGAGAAGAAAGAAAATTTAGATCCTTTTGTGTGGATCTAATGTAGATAAATACATCATTTTTATATGATGTAAATTCAAAAGTTAAGTTTATCTTAATATGTATTTTTAGATGCAGTTATGCATTCCTAATTCTAGTACCATGTGATTTCAGAAAAAAATATCACTTTAAATGTTTCAAATGTACTGATATTTATGTAGAAGTTTTGTTAATTTGTGGAAGTATCTAAGTTAATATTTTTTATGGAAACAATGTCTACACAACCCACCCATAAAATAATAATGTATTAGCCCATCTACCTATATTTGTAGAATTACATTTAGATTATTTTGTAATCCCAGGCCCAGGCGGTGGGATTTAAAACAAGCTTTTGTTAATTTTACTACATATTACTTTTAATAACCAACTTTGTTTATCATTGTCCTATTAGAAATAATTAATGGGATTTGTTGATAATTGTGACTAGTTTGTCTATGGAATGTTAATCTATTATCAGACAAATGACAGTAGATCAGGTTAGTTCCTGCACCAAGATCCTTTTGTGGTTTCCTTAGGAATTGTACTATTACCATTATTGTATTGGAAATTCTATTGGTGGTGATAAAAAATCAAAAACCTGCTAATAGTGTTGATAATAAAGGCAAAGGAATACAGGACTCTGCATACTAACAAATTATTGGTTATCCCTTCAAGCTCTCCATAGCCCTAATAATTCAGTCTTATACTTCTTCAGTGTAACTTTGGTGTAATGTGCTATCTAATATATAATATTTATTATATACATCTATGAGTGATAAAAAATAAGAAAAATACTCAGTAAAAATAAAAATTCATATTCTATTTAATATTTTATAACAATATATGATTATCACTTTGTGTATACATTGTGATGTGATATGAAAAGAAAAATTGGAAGAACAGAATGAATGCATACTCTATCAGTTCAATCAATATGGAATTAGTAGTTAAAATAAGTTAGATTTTTTTAAATTTTTAAATTTTTTTAAAGATTTATTTTTTATTTATGCAATAGCTGGGGTATAGGCCAGAGGCACAGGAAGGTGAGAGGATTCACCAGAGACAGAGTGGGGAGCAGAACAGGCAGACAGAACGAAAGCACTGCTGAGGGGAGCAGCAGGCGAGAAAGGAGAGGTCTGCCGTGCCATGTGGGATTCTCCCTGTCTGGCTGGGAATTGAATCCACGCTGCAGAGGTTGCAGACAG